GTTACCCTCGTATCACGGAAAGGGCAACCGGACGAAATTTATGCCGTCAAGCAGTTTCGAGCGAAGTCGAGTTCAGAAACAGTGGAAGAATACCGCAAAAAGATTCTATCCGAATATACCGTTTCAAAGAGCCTTCACCACCCAAACATCGTCGAGACAATACGCCTATGTACCCACCATGGTCTATATAGCCACGTGATGGAGTACTGCTCCGAGGGCGATCTCTTTTCCTTGGTCCAGAAGAAGTATCTCATGTCAGAAGACAGGGAGAAGGACCGTCTGTGTCTCTTCAAACAGCTAGTACAAGCTGTCAACTACCTTCACTCGAACGGAATCGCGCACCGCGACATTAAACTCGAAAATATCTTGATTACTTCCGACAGCAAGCTCAAGCTTGCCGATTTTGGCGTCTCGGAAGTTTTTAGCGGCAGACACCCTGGCGAGAGGGAAGCCGGTGGTCAGTGTGGCCAGGATATGGGAGAGGTGCGTCGCTGTGCCGGGGGCTATCTGGGCAGCTTGCCATATGTGCCTCCGGAGATTCTTGAGAAGGTCACCGACTACGATCCGCGCGCCGTTGACGTTTGGGGCGTTGCAGTCTGCATGCTCGCCATGACATTTGGCGGCTCCATCTGGAACCAGGCGACTCTAACTCCCTCTGACGGCTCCAAGCCGGATGTTTGCTACGTCCAACTAGCGGAAGGCTGGAGAAAGTGGAATGCAAGACATGCTGGTCAGACTAATCCAGTCCCTGCGGACACCGACATGCCCCGCGCAAAGTTTATGGACTTTGCCATTACCCACAACGGACTCCGTCGCCTCCTGCTCCAGATGCTTAACCCGAATCCCGATAAGCGTATTTCGATCACCGACGTCTTCAATAGCAGATTCGTCAAAAATGTCGAGTGCTGCCAACTTGAAAGCTACGAGGATCCATCCAAGACGATTGATGCCTCGAAGAAGGGATGCTTCGGAAAAGGTGCACCGCAAAAGATTTTCTGTCACAACCACTTACCCCCCAAGGCCCATCATGTTGCGGCTGTCATTGGCAGAACCTGAATGATCACTACACTAGTGGCTCGGGATAATATTATCACGACTAATTTCTTTACCTTCGTTGACACCATGGGAACAATCACAGCAGAGACGCAATGCGGGCTCTTTTGTGTGTCCATTTCACATTGCTCCCACCGGAGTTGAGTAGAGCTCGACGATTGGGCGCTCTCAATATTTGATAAAGGAGGAATTTCCTGCACATTCTTGATTTGGGTCGGAGAAGTTCTATACAAGGGCGTTTGTGGGTGTCAAATCAGTCATTGTGCTGTTAGTGGGGTGGTTTGGTATCATGGGTTTTGGTTTTTTGAGCATGGCGGTTTTTTCTTGTCTTGCCGATTTGGAAGAGCAATAGAGAAAGGGGTTTGAGCGGTGCATCTTGGAGTCGATAACGGTCCAGGCGGGTTCTCATGAGACAGCAAGTAGAGAGCAAGATCCAGATATGAGGAAGCGGGGAGAAACAAGTCTTTGATTGTGTTGAGCGCCGTTTGTCATGGGTTAATCCTTGAGCCGCGATCAGGCAACCAGGTGAGAGGGAAGAAAAAAAAAAGATCAGATATCAATACATACTCTGCATTTTCCCTATGAACGTCATGGTCGTTGAGTCACCCTATGTTGCTTTCCCTCAATTAGCCACTCATTGACTACATCATGCCACACCCAGAACCTTCCCCTTTGAATTCATGTATGGGACCCCTTGGGATGATGTGAAACGTTCGTGATGGACGGTGCAGTGATGGTACCTAGCCTATCGGCTGCTACAGACTCTACTCGTCCACAGTAGCGTATTCATCGACAGCTCAGCTATGAAGGGTCTCAAGGCGGAAAAAGGCAAAGCAACATCGAATGTCAGGGCACTTGGTGTTAGTCATTGAAAGAGAGAGAGGGGGGGGGGGGGGGGGGGGGAGAGAGAACGTGGGGGGCAGGAACTTGGAACCTTTCGGACATTGTCATGATGCTGGTGGCTTCTCATGATGTGTGACACTGGTCATTGACCCGGTTACCGATCGTTTATGATGTCCAAAATAGGACACAAGATGCAACTATGCACGTGGAGTTTTACTCGCTCGCCTTTTATCTATCCATTACCATTTCTTCATTGCTAGTGTACCGACTAATATAATCACCTTCAAAGTCGAACGCCCCTCACAGACAGAGCTGTGTGCATCTTTTTTCGCTTGCTTGTCACTTTATCCGTCAGCTTCTCTCCGATTTGAGGCGCCAGGCAGGGTGCTTGGTAGGTGTGGAGTTTTCTGGCGTGCTTGGATGACGGAGACATTGATGCGGAGATTCGGTAGGTGTGCTGCATGTTCAACTCAGTTGTTCATGCCTAGAGGTGTACAGAGGTAGAGGTATGCATGTCACAAACCTCAAATACCTACCTACCTCTACCTACCTATTCAACCGCATCAATCATGATCTGGCCTTTTCAGAAAGCGAGTGCCGGTAGCCACTTCACATGGCGTTGTCTTGGATTCAAGTCGGATCATAGGTAGATATTGCCTAGAGGTACCTACCTACCCTACCTACTGGACTTGAGAAAGCCAAGCAAACAACCTGAACGCTCAGGGAAGGTCGAATGCGATTGCTGGCACCAAGACTGAACTTCCTTTTGCAGCCTGGAATCGTTTGGCTTTTTGCAGTGTTGTTGATGTTAGCTTGGAGTCAGTCAAGTGTTGGTCTTCCGCTTTCATCGTCGATGCCTCTCGTCCATAACGTACCTACCTAGTCTACTTCTCAGCGGTTGGCATTGCTTGGCCATCACGACTTCGCAACCGGTGACGCCGGTCCTCAAGCTCTCCTCATAACAAACAACTGAATCTTCAAGTGTACTCTACCTACATCCAATTACCCTTTACACCCCGCCGTCTGTACCTGCTGATCTGACATGTTATTTACCCAACTAAACTCGGCATCCACGGCCTCATAGTATGCCATGGCTGACAATCCGCCCGCCCAGAGAAATCGTCATTGTCATTCTTCCCTCCGCCCGTCCGCCCAGCCGTCATCACCCTCAGTTCCGACAACGCCCCCCCTCCATCAACGAACTGAACTCCCAAATCCGTTCGGCGTTTTCCTTCCCTGAAGCCGGCCTTTCATGCATATGTCATCCCACGCACCATTACAATCTTGGCAGAACCACCCAGTCCACCACAATGTTAGGTGGGTTTGTCAGGAACCAAAACCAGAACCAAGTTTGGAGAACGAAGCAACTGAACCGAACAACTCGAACCCGAAAGGATGGACTACTATTCTGGAACGTCTTGGACGTGTGGGCGGGTTCGAGCATGGGGTAAGTACTTGTACTGCACTGCACTGTGGCACGCTGGCACTCTTACCATGGACGCGGAAAGAGCAAAATCGAGGTAGTACTGGAAGTTTGTCGGTCTACTCTCTCAGTCCGAAGCCCGGTCGTCTGCTTTTAAATGAGTGCCAATCAAAAGCTGTCATTGAAAGCTGACTGTTTGGGTGATGGAGTTTCAATTACTTGTGTGGTACTCAGCTCTCTTTTGGCACTGAATTCGGGTTGGACAACTTGAACAGAAACGAACCCTGTGCCTAGGTCGTTACACAAACTGCGGCGGAGTTTGTGTACCTACCTAGGTAGTGATCATGATCTCGACTTCACCACTGCTATCAAAGAGGTCACCAAGAATACCTCTACCTGCAGTACTACCACTCTAGCCATTTGGCAGGAACCCTTCCATGAAAGGTACACGGGCGGAAAATCTTTTATAAGGGGTAGTAGAGCGATGAAATTCTACATAGTTAAGGTCGGGCCTCACTAACAGAGGTACATCTGCCTGCCCCTTCCTTGGCCATCTTCGCTCCTTCCTTGGCCATCTTCGCTCCTTCCTTGCTAGAGGTACCTACCTAATCATGATTCAGTTGCTCGTGAGAATTTCCAAGCCCTGCGATCAGAACTGAGGAAGGAACAAGTGCACTGCAGCACGCAGAATATACTCAGATGATATTATAGTGCCATCCGATCACTCCGTCCGTTTCGCGGTTCGCCTTCGTTCAGAATCCTACCTCTTTGAGAATCAAAGCATCCAACACTTTCAGTGCCCTCGGTTATTATCAATGGAAGGCAGACTTGGAAGTCGAGTGTTGTGTTAGTTCTTCAACGGGCAACCATCAACGGTTAATTGTGATAGGTCACATATCACATCTCACTCAGCTATGGAAAGAAAAGTATCACCACGTGCGCAGGATCGAGCTCTTGGGAATACTCATCTGACCGTAAGTACCGTGTGACTAGCCTATGAGTAAGCTGTGAAGAAGCTTGTTGGAGGTGAAAGAGGTGAGTGGAGTGGTAATTCAACAAGATGGCCGTGGGAGGGCTATGCTAGGTATGTTCGGGGGAACGCCAGTAACATGGCATTAACGTAATGTCTACATTTAGTTTACTAGTCTGAAAGAAGCTATATTTGTCTAACTAATCTGCCTGTATTGACCAACTTTTTGTTTTCTTCGAAAAAAGACTCTAGATTCACCTTCTCATCCTTCCCTACAGCAACCTGTCAATTAGCACCCATGTCGGTAGGACTGTTCTCCCTCTCGGGCAGCTTGTCCCTCTTCACGTAGTACCTGATTCACCGGCTACTCAATCACACACATCCCTCTCCTCTTCTCTCGAGGGCTTCGGAAACTGTGGGCTGCCGCAGACTGGAGATGCAAGACAGGATAGAAACCAACATGCCTTACTATCTTCCACGAATAGCTGACTAACCACGGAAAGCGCTTGATCCAGTAATCATTAACCCAAAGAGCAGTGTGTGGTGTATCAAAACCGGAAACAACAAACTCGCATTCCATGACTTTCAGCCAAAATGATATTGATAGCCATGCCACTAAAGCGCAAACCCGAGTGCCCTGTTTGCAGAACGGAGCGGCCCCAAAGCCATTGGCGTTGCCATGAGGCGTCAATTATAGTAGCCTTGCGAGCCCAGGACTTTTGTTCGAGTAACGGGTAGTATCGGCGCCACAGCACAAAGTTTGCGGCATGCGTTCCTAACAGCGCCTCGACTAACAGAAAATAGCTTGGTGTATGACGTGGTATAGGGGGTATAAACACCATTTAACTGGTTCCGTTAGCAGCCGCGGCAGCCTGTTGAGCGGCAGCCTCTTGTGTGTCTGCCTGCTGCAAGACAGCCGAAATAACACTCTGCTCCTCCATACTCAAATGTTGTACAAGGCCAGCATAGTACTGGGGCTGCTCTGCTTGAAGCTCTGCGAATATGTTAGCTCTGATCAGGCTTGTTCACAAGCACCCCGATGAAGGGGAATACTCACTCAACAGAGACGTCTTGAAGATGGAGTAGGGATCAAGCTTGTCGAGAGGGGATTCGAGAAGAACGCCATCTTCGCCGAGCTCGTCGTCACTATACTCGAGATCGGTACCGGAGAACTTCTGCGCCTGAGCAAGGTGAGTGTCAGCAAGATCGCGAATCTAGAGTCATCAATACCGACTGTTGAAATGAATGTGTTCTGTAGAACTTACCTCCTCGTTGAGGAACTCCAGGTATGCTTCACTCTCGCCCTTGACATCTCCAAGATCCTCCTCCTCACCCTCTTCACCGGCATCCCAGTTGTTTTCATCGTCGTCCCATTCCTCATTTTCGTCGTAGACGCCTCCGTCAAGGTGATAGTCGTCCTTGAGCGCTTCCTCACGGTTTTTGAGAGCCGTCGGCAGGCTGCCGAACAGAGAGGTGATGCCCTGGAGAAGCCTTGGCCAACCAACGGCAACAGTAGGGGGGATCTGATCAGCAGGAATGCTGATCAAGGCCACAATGGCTACAATGCAGAGCTTCTTGTCATGCACGCGAGAGAAAGAGTCCATGCTGCTGAACCAAAGGCTGAAAAACTTGTTCGTCCAGCCTTGAGATTCGAGAATCTGCAGGGTTAGAAGAGGGTTGTAGTAGACGGCGTTGATGACCATTTCCATCAAGTGGATCTTGTAGCTCTTAACCTTAACATCCTGAGAAGTGAGCACGTTCATGGCCAAGCCGATGAAGCCTTGAACGCACTGATCAATCTGGCCACGCAGACTAAGCATCATGGCTTCAGAAAGCTTGCACGCGCAGATTCTATCGCAGCCGCCAACCTTGGTGTCGTTGAACATGTCCTGAACCATCTCAAACAGCGCCTGAATGTATTCAGGCTTCTGGACAAGCTGGGGCGCGCCGTACTGCACAAAGTTGTCCAACGCAGGAAGCATATCCTCCAGATACAGCTCGGCGCCCGACTTGAAAGTCGTATGGATAAGCTCAAAGGCCTGCCACATGTTGGGAGAGATCTGCTTGGCGGCAAAAGTGCAGCTGTCGATGATTTCAAAGACTTCGTTGTAGAGATCGTAAAGCTTGTTCTCCAAAGTAATCTGGATGACAGGCATCAGGACGCTCTCAATGTGAAGAAGAACCTCTGGGGTACTTTCAAGAGTGAGGATGAGAGTACCGATTGTTTGCAACACACCAAGCGCAGTTATGCTCTTGTCGTCGAGGTAATCGCCAAACTCATCCTCGGCACCATCACGTCTCTCATTGTTTTCGAGAAGCTCTCTGACGATGCGCAGGTAGGTATCGCGCAGCTGCTCGCTGAGAGCCACGGCAAACGGTGTAAGCTCAGTAGCGAAAACCTCCACGAAGTCCTCCATCACGTTAGCGAGGGCGTCAATATCGGCTTCGTTAGCAAGCTTGAGAAGCTGCTGCATAACCGTCGGGATGTTCTGCTGCATGCTGGTGCGAATGATCTCATGTCTGATCATAGGCTGTAGGGCCAAAGCAGCAGTCACACGGACAGGCAACTTGGGGTCGGCCATGCAGTCGAGGATGTGGCGGTAGACAGTAAGGAGGTTCTGCTGGTCCTTAAAGTCGAGCTGCTCGAACTTTTCGATGGTGTCGCACGCGCGGGCTCTGAGGAAGCCTTGCGGGTTCGTGAAATCCGGGAAAACGTACCGAACCAAGAAGTATTCCACCTGATCAGCGATAGGGGACTTCTTGCCCAGGATAACCGGAGCAAGAGTTCCGATCATGCGTAGCGCACCCTCCTTCGCCAGGTGGTTCTTCTGGTCCTCTGGCGCCTGCTCGTATTGATTGACGACTTCATTGACGAACTTGAGGATCTCGAAGGTCTGCTTTCTACGGGCCTTCGTGAGGCTCACCAAAAAGTTGACAGCGGCAACGTCGGGCGCGGAGACTTCCTCAAAGAAGTTAAGTTTGCGGTGAAGGTATTCCTCCGGTTCCTCCTCGAAGTTTTCCACGTCCTCTTCCGAAAGGCAGAGAACAGGGAAGATGAAATGAGTGACCAAATTAGTAAGGTGAGGCTTCAGATGTGTCCACATCTCCTTGGGACGAATGCACTCGTCCAGGAAGACAAGAGTGTACGACAAGCACGGCCGGCTCAGCCAGACGGTTTTGGCTACCCATTTCTCGATCTCGGCAAGGTAGTGCTTGAGGATTTCGGGAGCGACTTGGGCGATAAAGTTCTTGGCAAATTGGAGCAACTGACCATCGGCTCCCTTTTCCATGATGTTGTGAGGGTTACCGTATCTATGGCGGGGTCAGCCTCGGAATTGCGCACCCGGTAGAACTTGGGAGATGCGACACCATAACCACTTACCTGATATATAGCCTGTTTAGGTTGAAGTATGCCCACTTCTTTGCCTTCCACCAATGATGGCGTTCACGTCCCAACGGGTCGTCCTGCATAGCGCTCGCAGGAATCGGCTTCGATACGGTACGAAGGAAGATGGTGCACCATCCGAGATTGACGGACTGCTCGCGGAGGCAGGCGGGGAGTTCAAGCTATAGTGGCTCAGTCAGCTAATCATCCCGTCACTTTGTTTCCGATAGATATAGGAACTCACCCAGGCAGTATGCTTGTACGCCTTGAGAGCAATGTGTAACATCTCGCCAGCCTCCTCACTATCCTGGTTTACCAACTCATCGCAGACGGCCAACAGTCTCGGGAAGCTAACTTCGACAATCTTTTCGAATTGCGCACGGTGATCGGTATCGCTCATCTTGTAGCGAAACGAACGGCAGATAGCGAGCAAACATTGCAGGCCAGCCAGGACAGAGGGGGCGTTGTTGGTGTTGAGCAACTGGACGGTGTAATCCATGAAGGTCGGCCATCGGTCGGGAAAGTCGTGGTGCAAGATGCGCTGTAAAATGGGGACCAGCTGATGGCGGACCAGAGTCTCGGAGCTGGCGAGAATGGGCAGTAACCGGTCACGGAAGCGTGCCTTGGCGTCTTCGTCCAAAACCGCCTCTTGCGGGTAGTCGTCGGAGCGCTGCCAGGCGCGGTTGACTCGGTTCTTGAGGTAGATAACGGCTAGAAAGGGGTGAGCGCTTGCACCAAGCGTAGAAGGAATGAAGCAAGGGCTGAGTGGGTTATGGAAGCCCGCGAAGGGAATCGAACTGGCAAGGCATACTTGAAAGTTTCAGGTTCACATCCTGCTCTGTCTGGAGGAGGTCCAAGAGGACATCGGTGAAACCGACTTGTTGCTCGGCCTGCAGAGAAAACTTGATGTCAGCGGCGCTCCTGTTGTCCGTCGTTTCATGTCCACCCGGAAGCGGGCGGGGTGGTGAACGGAAGTCGAGGGTGTGCTGGCGATATGGATAGCAAGCGCGGACGGCCGGGCGGGAAAAGCACACGGCGACGGCGACGGCCACGGGACGTTGCTATCTGGGATGAGGTTGGTGTGTGCGAGGCACGCGGCCATGGAACAACAATCTCGGGCTCGTAGTTGGACTAGGGCTGTTTGCGCTGAAGGGCCGGAGTCTCGGCCGAGGTGGTGGGAGGACGGTGGTTGATGATGATGATGAAGATGATGATGGACGGCTACACACGCACCTGCTTGAGCTGGAGTTCAGCCCTCCGACGAACGTCGGCATCGGCGTCGAGGGTCGCGACGATGCAACTTCGAATGGCGTTCGCATCCATCTTGAGGTGACTTCGTTGACGGTCAAATTCTGGCGGGCTCTCGCATCAACACGGACACACCTATCCGGGGAGGGCGAGTGCGTAGATGGGGGGTGTGGTGGCAGGCAACAAATTCCCAAAACAAAAAGCCGGAGACGGGGTTGAAGTTGTTGCGGTTGAGGGGCGTGCACAGTCTTGCCAACCCGCTAGCGTAAAAAAAAATATTTGGGCCACAAGCTGGTCCCTCGTGGCATCGCTGCTCCTGGAGACGGACGCTTTGAACCTGATACCTTTTTGGCTTGAGTGCGGGAGACGACGAATCGGCTGCCGTGAAAACCGCTGCTGGGCGGGGCCTTGTCAGCACGCCGTCCGGGTTATAGGTGTCGGGGTTAATGCCGTGAACATATCGCCCCTACACTACAGAAAACGCACGCCTCTACCAGACGCATCAAAACTGAGGCATGAGGGGCGAAAGGGCATCACGTCGGCCAACCTGCAATCTCTACCTCTACCTAGGCAAACAACCAGAGCACGGGCAGCTCTCGACCAGCCAGTGAAGGTTCCGCGTTCAGTTGTCTGTGCGGGCCGTCAATCACGGGTTTGTCAACTGCTGCGGTGGAGGGACCCCAGGCCCAGGAACAATCTCCATAAAACGGGATGGAAGGGAGGGCCGTCAGCTTGGTCTTTTCCAGTAGTTTGGACAGACCAGGAGGGTCCTCGTCGCTCGGCCGGGCTTTGGGTTCCTCCTTGAAGTCTGCCTGTTCAGAATGATGAAAGCATCTGTTTGACATTGCTGATTGTTAATCCCAAGTAATGGGGCCTGAAAAGAACCTTGCACTGCCATCGCCATGGTTTGGAGATCTTTACAGCCTTTCTTCCCAGGTAGAGGGAAAGTCGGGCCTCTAAGAGCGAAGCCATCATGGGCATTCACATCGCCAAACGGGTTGCTCTCTTATGGTTTGCACGCTACAACATTTTGACGCCCCACCACGAACCCACACAGTACTGATGAACCCACGTTGTGTCTCAAATCCCAAGCTTTTACTACTCAGTAGTGTATGCTCCTTGTGTGAGCTTTGTTTCGTGTTGTGAAAGAGGCCGGGAAAGAGACACCAAATCTCTTCTGCTGAGCAGGTCGGTCGGCCATCATCTTGATGACTGAGGGGCACTGGACGTTCCCGTCGGCGGCTGCACCGGGGCCATCCGCCCAGCATGCAAAGACCGGCGTTCCATGCCAGTGCCGCTTCCTGCACTACCTCTACGGTAGACATCTGATATCGACAAGAACACAACACTGCTATGGGTTGATTATGGCACGTTTATTGCCGGTGCAAAGCAGCAAAAGCCATGCCGCAAAAGCGGTCACCACTGGCCGTAATTAACCGACCCATTCACCAGCCACCCCATCATCTCACTGCACTTCTTCTTCCTCCCTTTTCCACGTCACTTGGACTTAATTGGTGCCCTTACAAGCTGATCCTCTTTAGCAGCATAGGTGTGATTGTGGTCTTTGAATCGTGCTTGCAAAAGTGCCGGCATCGGATCCTCGTACAGTTTGAACAGCAGAACAGGGCAGTCCAGGTCGACTGGGTGGCTCACTTTAACAGAAAAACCATTACACTACTTCCATACCTCTATCTACAGTACGCCACAATATGTGTGTGCCTGGCGCCTGCGCCTGAATTGCTCCATGCAAACCCCTAGCAATAAGCAAAAGAAAAACCACATGCCGACTTGCACGTTTTCATTTTCCCCTGCGTCTCCCCAACCGCCTCTGTTTTGCAGGAAAGCCCACCAGCCAAGTTTCCAGGGCCAGAGATCGGCGAGGAGGGCAGCACGGACAGGAGCGGACTCCGTGCTTTCTATTACATAGGACCATGTTTACATTTCAAGGGGGAACCTCTTAGTGCCTGCCTGTAAAACGTGTTCTCAAAAAGACAATTGTGAATCCCTTCATTAATTCTACCTCTCAATACAAGCTCCAAAACTGTACCCGAGACTTAGTAACTAAAGTCGTGCGGCCCTCATTCAGTCTTTCCTCCGGATGCCGAACCGAAAACGGCTGCTAGATTATACAGCAGATACATATGACCATTGACCTCAGATGACAAATATGAGACCAGTACGTCCGAACTATATGCTAAACACAAGAGGTATGAAATGAGAAGAAATCTTTCAACCCAATTTCTGTGTGGGCTTGTCAGCTTTAGGCTCACCTTCCGAGAGGACGGGAACCAGTACCTATCGGACGAATAGAGGCAAGAGAGTGGGTGGAATGACGCCGAAAGGAAAAGTCTTGACTAACAGATGATCGTCCCTTGGAGATGCTCATCTCACGTGTGCGAACCCTGGTGATGGTTGACCACAATTCGTTGCTTTGAAAATGACCATCGGCACCAGTCGGTACTGGCTGCTGAATGTTCTTATGATGATGATGCAGTGGTAACAAGGCAAACCGGCTACCCAACTGGCAGTGAACGAAGAACCTAGATGCAACCCGGGATTACGTCTCTGATTCCATACCACATTTTTCGCGAAGGCTCCTGAAGACATGGACAATCACCGTAATACCGAAGAAATGCAACAGACTAGAGAGCTGTCGAGCGCTGCAAGACGGACATCATCGTGTCCCTGGTTCAGGAAGCCTTGTGATGCCTGCCGATTGATGTTCGATGCCATTTTTGCAGTTTATGCAGCGCACAAGGTTGAATGCCGGTTCAGCCATCATTGAACTGGTATTGGCGGAGATAGCGAACTCCATCTGGGCAGTCGAGTTGAGAAACGCTATATGGCATGGTCGGTCCATTGTCATTGGCAGTTGTTGTTGTTGCCAGAATTCCATTGATTGGCCATCCGCGGTTCTGGTGGTATTTTGTCGACATACCTCTTGTATGTCCGTAATGAGCGTCTCATTAGACAGCTCGTGATTCCAGGGACGGGTCAAGACGCGTTAGAATACGAGCCTGGCCGTTCTAGCAAGCCAGAAGCGAAAAAGCAATCCAGAAGGTCCACGGAAACAGTCGGGCCAAAACCAGCAATACCGTTCCAAATCAGACCAGTGGCAATTCCGGGGCGAGCTTGGGTGCCATGGCTCAAATGAAAACCAGGAAAATCCGGGGTGTGCGGCCAATTGTGGTTGATCCAAGTGGAAGTTCCAAGAAAAGAAAGATGAGAAAAGAAGATCAATGTTTCCTTGATTCAAGCTGTGTCCAGTTAGTTATCTTGAAAACGGAACATGAGGCTGTCCAGATCAGAGTGCAAGCCGTGGGCAGAAATTGGAGTACCGTATTTCGGTCCGAGGGGTCAATTGATATATACACTCTTCCAGAGGCTTACTCACCTTGCTGTCCGTCCATGGCTTGAATCTTCCGGTCGGTGAAGAGGCGAATCCGTTTTCAGGACTCGGAGAGATTGTTAGCGAGGAAGACTCCTAATCCCGGGGTGGAATGGCTTCAAGGTTTAGACGCAAACGCCTCGAGCGGAGGACGAGGACGTTATCCCGAGAGCCATTCCGGACAGCAAGGAGAGGCTGATATCCACTACACACAAAGACGCCAGAACCTCGAGCCGCTCTTCATTTTTTCCCCAAATCCAGTGAAGTTTCCCGGTCCGTGGTATAATGCATCTCTCCATATCGTCCTCGAAGCGAGAACAGAAAAGGAAATTAGGAAAAAAAAAAAGGAAAAAAAAAAAAAAAAGAAATCACACAACCCGTAACATTAATCGAAAAGTAAACTCGAGCGACAGCACCACCGTCCAATGCGGCAGCTGTCTGCAAGGTGCCATAGTCCAGATGTTTGGTAGGCACCAGAGAATCCGTGTTCTGGTAAAACCAGGGACAGAAATGCCGATAATCCAGGGATGCAAGTACCGTGGAAATGGTGTTGCTGTATCAAAGTCGAGCCGCCGGAGCAGAGTCAAGATCCAAACTTCCAGAGATGCAACTTGCAGCTCTCGAGGTTTCCGCGCACCTCTTTTTTCTCCTAGGTCTATCCGTGGATCAGATCATTATCAGGCCGAAAGTAACCGGGATCCTGGTATGAGACAATGAAACAGAAATAATAGAGAACTCCGGGTTCCGAGGTATTAGCAAAGCATTAATAACAGCCCATAAGACCTCCAACGTCTTGCGACGGGCAGGTCTAGGGCCGTCAAAGTCAAAAAGACCTGCGTGTCGCTAGCAATTAGCGGATTTGCCGGTGCCTGGCACGATCTCTGTCGTCACGTTCCTGCTCCGGGCGGCGATTGCGGTGTTGTTCCCGTTCTCGTTCCCTGGGCTCCGAGTCGCGACCGGGACTCCGGCGTGGGGCAGGTGACGGCCCGCTGCTTGTCATTTGGGCCGGTGTACTACTGTTTGACGTGGGGACCTGTGAGAGCACAGGAGGCTGATGGTTATCAAACGGGGGCTCTGGAATGTGACCGTACCCTTGCCGTGTTGGCGTTGGACCTGCGGGGGAGCCTAGATTATCAGATGAAGCCTGTGCTGGGTTCGTTGTTGCCACATTATACGCACCACCACGGCCATACAGAGGATCGGCTGAGTAAGCCTGAGTGGCCGAACTTCCAGGAATCGGCGCACCATAGTACTGATCCGGGGCTGGTGGATAACCAGGGGCGCCATTGGTGGGAGCATACATTGGCCTGACAGGGGCAGCAGAAGAGATCGCAGGGTGAGGCGGCATCCTTGGAGGCTCCGACGTCACGTAATTCGGCTGTGTCCGATAATCTGAGCCCATCACGTAGGAAGCTTCCTGTCCAACTTGTCCATAGCCGCCAGCCGGCATAGGAGGAGGGGCCGCCATGCCAGGGTATCTATCTCCGGTATTGGGAGGTCCGGGCGAGTACTGCGGAGCGGGAGGATTGGTCGGGTAAGGAGGGTACGCCTGGGGAGGATACTGTGCTGGAATGCCAGCAGCCTGGGGAGTATACGAAACGGGCGGATAAGTAGGAGGACCTGGCTGTGGCGGCCCTGGGTACGCATTCGGCGGAGGATAAACCGGGTTCTTGGGGGCGCTAGGCTGTGGGGGATAGTCAACATCCATGGCATTGTCCCTGGCGTAGGCATCGTAGTGTTCCTGTTCCCGTTGGCGGTTTTTCCATGTGCTGTAATCAGAGGACCCACGGTTCTGCTCGCGCTGGCCTGTGGGCGAGTTAGAGCTTCTCACAAACGTTGAGCCATTGTGCTGGCTAGAGTGTATTGTACCTCCAGTGCCACCACCTGACCTGGACGCAGCACGTCTCTCTTGCTCCCATCGAGCGGAGTCGGCCTTTAGGTCTTGAATCATCGCCTGCAAAGCCACCTTGTTTAGCTTCAAGTCTTTGCCAACGCGCAAGCTTGTGCGCGAGCTGGCTGCGAGGACTTACCGATGTCAGATTGCGATAGGCGGTGATGAAGTAGCCTTGGGTCACACGGCCGTCTGGTGACTATGAGGCGAGCAGCTGTAAGTGACAGTTCCTCACAATACTACGCTCAAATGGGTGAGGCCGAAGAGGAAAGAAATTCTCGGTCGAAGGGGCGTACCTCGTAAGTTCCAGGGCGTACAAGTGCATCGTTTCCGAGGTACCTGCAAATGTCGGACGTGATGACTTCGCGATCGATACCGTCGCGGGGCACGAAGTATTCGTTCTGGCGCGCAGTCGAGGGCTGAGGGGCCTGAGCTGGCCTGTTGCCCGGTCTTGCCGCCATGGTGATTGCGGATAGGGCGTGGTGGTCCGAAGAGCAAGACAAGAGGATGATGTAGGTCCAAAGAAATCAAAAATCGGCGATCGAAACGGCGTTGTGTATCTAAGAGCTATGGACGTGAGGTGAGAAAAAGGACGTTGCAAGTGCGGGCCGATGATGGGACAGCAGGCAGGGGAGAAAGAGTCCGAATTTTGGGAAGAAGGGATGAACGAGAAAGAGGGGAGGCCGGGAAGAAATGGACGCCTGGCTGAGTTTAGGTTGTGCCAAAGTGGGCCGTCGTGGTTGCGTGGGTGGGATGGAAGAACTTGTGAGGCACTCCTGGCAACCTGGCTGGGCCTGGCAGAGCGGTACGTCTAGCAGGTATCCTCAACCCTGCGCTGTATGTATGTCTAGAGGTAACCGGAGCGAACAACCCGTGGACAAGCGGGAAAAAGACAGGGAAAATGGGTGAGTGGAGGTGACTAGATTGGCCGGCTTACACTGCAAATCCGCGCTGAGCTTGACGACAGCGGGCCTACAAGGGCAGCACGAGTGACTCTGCTGGTCTGGCTCTTGTACGTAGTCTATATGGGATGTGTGCCGTACGCTGGAGAGAGTGTGTCCGCACCCCCGTCACCTCGTCCTATGTATGTAACACGTTGGGCAGGCAGTTAGACAAGGCTAATACCTAAGGGGAAGCTACACTACCCAGACAGCCAGACCTGGCGAGCACACGAGGCACCTTTCTGTAAGGACACTGCTGCTCCGCGGTCTGTACCCGAGTTTTGTGCTTGCTGCTTGCTGGTGCAAATGCGATGCGAACCTAGGCATCGGGTCCTCTCCTGCGTCTCTCGGCGTCTCGCTCGTCAACAGCGAGAACAGATTCGGAATGGAGAATGGGGAATGGAGAATTGTGGGTGACACTAGGCCGAACTCTGATGGAGAATGGGGCACGGAATCCGCAGGGCATCCGCAGGGCAGCAGGGGCATCTGCTGACAACAAGCACAAGCAGCAGGAACAGGAGCCAAAAAGAGCGAACGAGAAGCTGACTGACAGCAACCAGATCGGCCAGAATACGGAATGCCTTGCAGATGGGATGGGGGTTGACAGCAACCTCAAGGATAGAGTGAGGGGCTTGAGAAGGTCGGGAGGCAGCACCAGGAGGGTCTACCCAGGGTTGGTTTTCTGGATATGTACATGGCGGTAGGGACCCGGTGTCTGCCAATGAGAGCGCGTTGCGCTAATGTGTCGTTGAACTTATAGTCGCCACAGCAGCGCGGCCTAAAACGACGACGACAGTACGAATGCTGAATGGTGAATGATGGCTTGGATAGATGGCAGCCATACTTGGCCAACAGGGCGGCCGAGTCAACTTTTAACAGATGTGGCCAAGCACAGCCGAGCATAGCAAACCACGACGTCAAAGTGAGGCTTGATAGGAAAAGCAGTTTGTGCACATGGACAGCCAGTGAAACGATATGACAAACAGCTTATCTTATACAACCGTGCCCTCCCTTTTTTTCTTTCTCCTTTTCTTCACCGGCCAGGACGGCCTCGGAAGAGAGGCGTGGGAGACATTGGTTGGCTCTAGGGACCCGATGTGGGCTACTGCCTTTAGGGGCTGCAGCAAGCGAAAGAGGCAGTCCTGCCAACCACTGAAAACCGACTCGAGATAGCCCAAGGACGGGGGGAGGGCGGATGGAGCAATGGACGCTGCCAGTGCTGATGGAAGACACAAAGGCGTACAGGCTCAGGAGAGAAAAAAAAAAAAATGCGGTGTGAAGATTGGCAAGCGTTGGGCTGTAAGTCTGTGGAGTGGAAGGCAAGCTTGAAATCGCTTCAGGTCGAAAGTCAACTTTTGCCCATTGTCGACAGGTGATAATGGAGTCGTTAACCTGCTACACTATACATTGGCGGAAAAGGTGCACTTGGTATCTAGGAGCGACCTTGCTAGACGCCGTCACCTGCCAGAGTGCGCTTTACGCCTTTAGGGATTATAGGTGTCAACAATCGGCCTTCCAGACTGGAGACTCCAGTGCCAATTGCCAAGTAGTGCAAACAGTCCGAAGTCAAACCTGGTGATGAGGCTGGCGTTGTTTTTTGACTTCCATTCTGAGGATTCTATTGGCTGTGTGGGTTGTTGTGGAAACGCCACAATCGCACGCGGAGGTGTGGGTGCCAATTAATCAACCGCAGGCGTCAACCCTCGGTGGTAACTCGTACCAGTCAAGAAAGAAATGAACACAGAGCGTTGCCAACGCCATACATACTGTAAAGATTTTCCAGCGTCAAGGTGAACGCAAGGAAGGCCGCTGTTTTGGTAGTGGGTATTCGGTGACCCGTTTGGGCGTCAAGGGCGCAAAACATGAGCTCGACCGGGTGCGCAAAGATAAACTGAATGTGGGGACAATGAAGGCCTGACTTCAGACGGAATCAATAAAGCCATCTGTTGAAAAAATCATACCACAATTGTTATGTCAATTGAAGACATTTCGGATTTATACAAAAGGAACAAAACGACCTCAAATGTCTACTACTGTGTGGTGCCATGAGGTCGTCTACCGACGGGCCTGGATGTCTTGCGTAGAAGCAAGGCGGTCTTCGCAGAGTCACTGCCATATGGCACTCAATATTTAGGCGGCAAGCCTATGGTGATGGTTAGAAAGAGATGGACAACCAATGTGATTACATATCGAAAGCTGAAGGGTCGGGGCCAGACGCCAGACAGTGCTGGCTGACGGGCTGAAGGTGGCACATGGATGAAAGAGTCGCTTCGTCGCCGTGACATGTGTGAGTACAAGAATTCAAGAAATCATTTCGAGCATCCGACATGGTTTCCTCATACCAATGGGTCGCCGACGTCGTATGTGGAATTATGACCTATGCCCATGCCGTAGCTTCTTCCACGCGGGTTGAAATGCATTTAAGACAGATTGGGCTAGTGAAAGGCTGTGTGAAGATACTTTCTAGTGGGCTTCGTGATGGAGACGCAATGGGGAAGCAATGGATCTGGGAACGGGCGGGTTCTGGCAACAATCGGGTATCAATGCGTCTGGAAGTCTGGAAGCCCAACCTTTCTGCAACGCCGCAAGCTGCCGCATGAGATGGAGTCTCCCGCAGCCAATCAGCTTTGTCCGACGCTTCGGTTGGTGAGGGTGTAAGCTCGACAACAAGGCGACCGTTTGGCTCTGAGCACGCTCACTGCTCCTAGTGATCATGGCCGAATTGATCCTTTCCTCCCACATCGGCAAGTAACCCTAGTGCAGAACATGCTCCTGCGTCGTATTTTTATTCTGGTGTACCAACCAAAGGGGCACATGCCGTCTCCGCCAGTTTGTCATACAGGGCCCTGATCATGATGAGTATCTGGCCGCCAAACCAGAGACAGACATTGACGACACTTTTTGTCCGTTTGTCTGGAGCTTTCTTGCTTCCGTCGTGGTTCATGTTTGCCATAACAATCTCCCAATGCTTTCGTGGAGGTCCCTTGAACTTACAAGTCTCTCAGTGACCTGTCAGGAAATCGAGCAGCAACTCTCACGAGCTGAACTCATTGCGCGCAGATTGAGGTTTCATCTTCGGGGGGGCGTTCCAACAAGTATAGGGGCTTGATAGCCTCCCCATAAATTCGGCTGCCATGGAGCAAGAAAAAGTGCTTCACGAGATATTCGGAAGTGAGACTGCCGACCCGTTACCACCCATTAAATGCCAGAAGGGAATCGTGGATCTGTCCAAGCATTGATTGGTTTGTCCCTGGATTCTCGGTCACCGCCAGAACGCAGACTTTGATGAGATGCCGTAGTCAATCCCGTCGCGCAGCTGAAGACGAACACCTGCAGCGAATCTGAAGAGCAAACCGTCCTCCACAAAGACTGCATGTGCAATCTTGAATAGCTCGGTCAGAGGCAAGTTTTGATATCAAGCGTCGTGTTGTGGATTCATGCATTGAGTTCTCCACCTGTGCGCTCATGTCACTTTGCCGTTATCAGGGCATCGTGTCATGAAAATCGCGATAGTCTGTTCAACCGAACTTGAGTTTGCTTTGCCCGCGCTCGACCTTCTTCGGTCTACCTTGTCGCTTCGGCGTCGTGCGTGTGGATATTTGATTGCCGGCACGCGAGCTAGACGCTGATGGCTGATTGACGAATGTCTGGCTGACACGTTCTTGTTCTTGGAGCTCTTTGGCAAAATGCCAGTCCTGATGGCTTTGCAGTTCCTCGGGGCTATCGAGGCTGGCGTTGCATCGCGAGCACGTCAATGTGATGATTGGGCCGGGTTCTGATTCAGACTGCCCGTTATATACCTCATCGCCTTTGCCCACCCCCTCTGAACCGGCCGGCTCACCTGACATGACCTCCTCTTTCAGGGTGCCCAACCTTTGACCGCTTTGACCACTGATGGCCGTATCGTCGGAGCCCAACCCAGAATTAGCGCCATGGGATAACTCTCTCTTTGCGAAAAACCGTTCTATCCCGCCGTTATCCAGGCGCCTTCGCTTCTCTGCCGGGCGGATCTCGATTTCAGAGTCAACCGTCGCTGTCCCTGACCCCATCTTGCTTGCCTGGGCCTCCTCGCCCTTCAACAAGAAAGCGCCAATGCCCATGTTTCCAGTAACACCATCCTCAAATCCTCCAACGCTAAGGCTGAGGTTGGAACATGGCCAGACCTGACCCTCGGAAACAATCTGGCTTAACAGATTCCTGGCCAGCTCTAACAAACTCTCTTCGTCGAGCTTACGGCCTTGGGGGATAGGACCTTGACGTGACCGGGTTTGAGTGCCGTGACGGTGATGGAGATTGATGGTCTTAGGCCTCCGCTTGTTTTCCAAAACGCCTTCTTCGACCAACCGGGAAAAAATGTCAGCGGCAAAGATGCGCAGCCATCTGACAGCCTGCTCGAAGGAGGTTATACTGGGACGGAAGGACTTGGCCGACAGCATCGACTTGATTTGGACGCGCGGGTTTACCTCGCTGGTATCGATCCCACGAACGGTGTTGTAGACCCAAACGCCTGTGTCATCGCCTAGCTTCGATTTTAGCTGCTCCACCGGAGCACTGAGCAAGTCTTTGACCGTGTCTGTGTGATAAATCTGACTGATTTGTTCGCCCAGCTTGCCGCCAAGGTTCCGCATCTTTGTGAACTTGAAGTCGGACAGGAAATGTTGAATTGAACGATTCCGAAGCACCGTCTGTTGGTTGGGCTTTCGGTAGGCCGAGCCCAACTTGCTCAACAGCTTATTACAGGCTACACCTGCGGAGCACGTGTATCCAAGCTTATCTTTGATGGCTATCCGCACCTTGCGCACAATTTCCGAGCCTATAAGAATAGCCACGTCGTCCCAGTCCGGATCCTCAAGTTCAGCGTTTTCGTCTGGCAGGTCTACCAGCGCATCAGCCTGCCAGTCGAGAGCGGTGATGGATGGCATGGGCAGCATCTCGGTCGGGTCATCGTATGGGGGAGGGTTGGCAAGCTCGGGAAAACGTTCGAGCAGGATAGTGTGCACCTGTGCCGAGAGGTCCATAAACACCTCATCGATGCTCGCTTTCTCCACCTTTTGAAGATGAGGTGGGAGTTCTTCCTTGATGATAGCCAGAATCTTACGGGATTCAAGTCGGTAAGGGTCTAAGGACACCTTGTGCGTCGCCATGTTGGCCGCGGCATCCGGGTGGTAATCCCACTTGGCATCGCCTTCTCTCCATGTTGCAACGTGTTGGTGTATAAGATCTGGGCAGAGCTTTTTTGCTTCCGACACGTTGCAATGCCGGCCGATGCCAAAGCTACGAGCAGGATAGTTGACTGCGATCAATCCCTGCCTATACAAGGTCAGTTTGACGTCAGAGAATGCCCAATGGGCACAATTGGAGACTGGGTTTACCATTGCTGAACGGCAACGGGCTTGTCGTCTGGTATCCCTAGTCGCACCATTTCTACCTGAGCGTAGAAGCAATCGAGATCCAGGTGAGCGATGACCCTGAGCGGACACGAAGTACTCGAGGCAGCGAGTTGCTGGATGTGACGATACGTGAACCGTGAACGCTTCATGCCGGGAGCGCCCGCGGGAGACAAGTCGCGAAAGGACTGCATATGGGGCGGTGACGACATGGCAGCGTATGGGCGGAATCTAAAGCCAAGGGTGTCGTCATTTTCATTCGGTCGGGCGGGCTATGAAGACGGGCCGGCTACGGCAGTCAGAGTCGTGGTGATCGCGGATGGCCGAGAGACGTTCATCGGTGACGGAGGCGCATGAAGACGGCGTCGCGACGGGTGGTTGTGAGAGTGCCGAAGTCACGTCGAACGGAGCAAAAGCGCGCTAAGGTGAGGTGGGAATCGCCGCGTAGTCCAGTGTCCAGACTGCCCTGTGGAAACTGTTTGGAAGCTGACAGGATCGGAGGAAGTTCGAGCCGGGAGGTCCCCCACAGCGGGTAACTCGATAGATACATCCGCGCCTATCAGTGATGAGATCCCCACGTGCGGGAGTCCCACCCTGCAGGTCACGACTCTGCTGTGCCAACTCCAGTTAGCTACCTCTGGAGGTGGTAAATGATCATCGAAATGAAATGCAGAGCCGCGAAGTCATCCCGCGTTTTAGCCCAACCCTTCAGTCCAAAAGGGCCCCTTCCCGCATATGCGAGATACACTAGACATGTACACCTGACCTGAAGTTGATGTGGCAGAACGGTCCACAATACAGCCCGTATTCTGCCCAAACACGCCAATGCCTACATCGCCTAGTAAGGCGCGGGCGGGGGCAGGGAGGGAGGGGGGTTACATGAACGGATCCTATCGATGTTGCGTTCAAGATATCTACGTAATGTAGTGTAGGGACTTGCGCGCGGGGATACCTAGGCACCTTGCCGACTGCTCTAGTCTTGGAAAACTCGAAGTCCTGGGCTACCATCACGCATCAACACCACCTCACGGCATCACGACGACAGGGATCTCAACCAGTGATATTGTGCCGAAGTCGCGGCTAGAAGTACGTGCTTTGAACATACAATCGTCTACAAGCACATGCGTATGGTCCATCACACGTTCGATGAGCGACGTTAGTCCTGCCCTAGAGAAAGAACGAACGAGATACTACAGACAAATGATCTCTGATACTCTTCACGCAACCTGAGAATCGGGAACTTGAACCCAAATGACGACTCACCACCTGCATACATACTGAGTTACCATATTTTCCACACGTGAGGGGTATACGATGCCATGAACCCTACGATACTACCAGTTCGCACGATGCATCATTTTCTGTTATCATCGGTTATCACTCGTCCTCTAGATTGCACTCGGATTTCCTTCGGTTCCGTCCACATCCTGTCAGTCCACGTTGGTCTCTCAGAGTTCCACTGGAGTTGCATCACGCTATTGAGATCAAGTACGCAGGGCTTACCATATTGGAGTCGGTTGGGTAGGAATTAAGCAGCGGCACTGCATGACTGCAATTGCAACAAGCGCCATGCTTCTGACCTTTACGTTCAACGCTAGCGAACTTCCACTTTTCATGATATGGGTAGTAACAAGGACTGTGCTCGGCCGGCTAGAAAAAAAATGATTCGTGCGGATGGAGAGGGTGAAGTCACTGCAGAGGTTACCGTAAAGGGGAATATGCTGGGAAGTTGTATAGAAATAGTACCTGACTTCGTTGGTGAAAGGAAGAAAGAGCCTCGAAACACTACCTGCTCATACCCGGAGAAATAGCAGTTCGACACCACACATAAGTGCCGACCGTAAGCCAGCATTAAAGTATCTAATCAAAAGTAAAAGAAACATGACAGCCGGGCCCTTCGCTGAGCGCCGGCAAAAGTCCAGAAACCAAAATAGTATGGTAAACAGAGAGCATAGACAAATGGAAGGGGGTATCTAGATTAATAAGTTGAAGTTGATCACAAGTTCGCCGACCCATGGGCCCGGTCCTGTGATCCCTGCTCCTGCTTCTTTTGTTTCCTCTCCTTGGCCTGTGATTTCGACGACAACTCCTTCTTCGATGTGGTAAACCCCTTCTCGTCGTCGGTTAGGTGCGGAAGCCTAAACCTTTCTCGCACTCGCAGATATATGGGGCCCATTTCGTAGAAGCTCTCGTTGTTCTCGTACGTTGCGCAAGGTGAGTCCTTGAGAGGCAGTAGCCAGTCAATGATGTTGTTGCCCATGACGGATTTCCAGTTTCGATAGAAGCCTAGATCCCACGGGTTCTCGCCCAGCTCGGTTTTCACGACAGCAAAGGTGCGTGTTGCGAGCATATCCCTCTCATTGGCCACGCCTCTTGCACCGACGTCTCCAGGTAACGGAGTGGCCAAGTCTCCGGATTTCGATATCGGATATGTGACGACTTTGTACTTTTCACAAGATTGGATGCCTCTCGGGACCCGAATGGCGAGGTTATGTACGAAGTTTTTGGACTTGAGGTAGTCGATGTTTGTCATGTTCTGCAGCGCATATCGCGCGGAAGTGATGAACATGGTTACGGCAAAAAATCCCAGAAGACCGGATAAAGCCAAAATGGCGACCACAAAACCATCAAGGCCGTGACCGGTATAAATTCGTTGTCTCGTGCAAACAGCGCAAGCAGTGATAACTACTATGGAGCAAAGCGATGCGTAAAACGTGAACTGGATGAAGTACTTGAAAGCTGCGCACCAGGATTAGCCGAGTCCGCCATCAGATGTATCGATGATTTCTTTCCACTTACACGTCTCACCCACAATTCCCCCAACCCACGGGCAATAGTGATCCATCTTCTTGACGCATCGGTCGATTTCACTGCAGTGATGCGCCCTGTCTGGCTTCCAGGTGCAACAACTGTGACACCATCGCGGCTTTCCGTCTGATTCGCAGATAAAAACGTCTTTGCTGTAAAAGGACTCGAGCCCAGGGCTATCAGGGTCATCGTCTGGTCCGACATTACTGTAGGCGTTGGCCTCTATATCGCCGGTCTGTTTATGCTTGTGCCGTCGCCAACTTGGTTTCTCTTTTTCTTCTTTTTCCAACCGCCATATCGCTCGCTGCCCGAGGGGAACAACGCCGGGATTTAGTTGAATAACCAGGAATAATCGTATATAGGTCAAGAGCATGAACGTGAAAGTGACGAGGTAGAAGACGAGGAATGCGATCGCAGCGCTGGGTTGTTGACGCCTATGGAGGAAGTGATCCACTGTGAAAGGGTTCCAGGTCAGTGGAAAAGCTCCGCGTCAGACGGACTTGCAGGAGCTCCACATCTGTCGGGGAGGGAACATGCTGGGTGACATCACGCGGGGACAGAGAGCAGTTGTTGAAGTGGAAGTTGGAGATTGGGGAAAACAACCAGGGACGTACCGCAGACTCTCTTGGCCGTGGTGTATGTTGTCAGACCGAAACAGACGGCTAGAAAAACAGGCATAAATCGCGTCACCCATCTCGTCTCGGACCGGCGCGCTCGAACGGAACTCATTTCGTCCCCAACCCTCGAGGCATGGAATGTGGTGTTGTCGTAGCGCAATGGGATATACGGGTCGAAAGTCGGCGATCAGGGTCGTCGGTGGCGCTTCGGACGAACGAGGTACGGGTTGGGGCGTTTATTCGCTTATACGCAGGCTAAGTAGTACATCAGGCTGCTGATGATATGGAATGAAAGGTGTCAATCGCAATGGTCGGTCGGCAGGAGGAGTTGGCGCGGGATGACAGAAAGCGGACGGAGGGCGAGATTTCAGGAGGCAAGTGGAATACCGCCTGCTCATATGAGAATCGCTGTCGTTCGGAGGGGACCGCAGCGTTTAGTTGCGACGCCGTATGTTGGTCGCCGCCGTTGGTCTGGACAGTTCTTGCGACGGCGTCCAAGGATGCGCTCAAAGATGAAATGCCATAATTTAGATCGGAGGTTTGCTTCGGTTGGACAATGCAAGACATTGGATCATCCAGTCTTTCAACGCACATCTGGGAACCGGTTGGAAACCTGCCCTGGCCCCTGGCAGCAGCGGGGAGATCAGCCCCGTAGGGGCGCGTCCAGTGCCTGCGCAAGAGCCGGGGACCCACACCGTTGGTCGCAGATTGAGGGCACTGGGGGCCCAAACCGGAAATGGTAAGTTAAGGTACCTACATACCTCTATGTATTACTTACCTTCAGCGCCATCACCTACAGCGAGCATGACCTTCCACTTCATGTCAGAAACGACTAGGTAGGTTTACTTCATGTTGAAGAAAACGGATAGGAAATACTCTTGAGATTCACAGAATCACAAATCCGAGTTCAGTTCTTAGTGTTCACTGATCCATTGAGCGAGTCCAAGGGATAACGGTGGTAATTAGCGTAACAACGCCCGGCATGCTCATGGAACAACAACTGAAGTGCCGTTTACAGTTAAGCATTTCGGCCAATATCAACGCACCAAATAATGGGAGTAAAGAGCTGCCATGGCCCAATTGCAAAATTGGCATCTACAAGGCATCGTGGCTGTTGGTTCTGCCTGGGCCTTAGCGTAGGCAGACACCAACTGTTACGGGTGGTATGTCTTAGGTTAAAAACAATTTAGGAGGTTGGCTCACAACAGCAACCCAAATCCTCGACATAAGTGGATACAGGTGTTAAGTTGGTGTTTAGACGGCTTGTAAAGTTGAAGCTCTATTCAAGACCTTTGAAGGTAACATGCGTTTGGCCCTAATGGTCGAAGATAACCAAGTTTAGCCAACATCCCGAATCCACTCAATGAGTTCGGGCTCGGCTTGGCAAGAGTAGTGGTTTGTAATCATTCATTGAGAATAGTAACTCGGCTAAAGCGATGAAGACAGTTAACAATTTCTTGACCAAACATTTTGGCAAAACTAGTTTTAGTTCTGATGACCAACGGGAGGAAACGTGAGAACACGGACCATCCGTTCGTCTTGAAAGGCCAATCCAACGTTATAGCACTGGGCAATCTGGACAAGGTGTCGAGGCTTCTGTTTATCATATAACCATTAGACTCCCGCAGGACGCGCGGCTCCGTGTTGTTACCGAATTCACCAGGGAATCTGCCGAGAGTCATCGCAACCCAGCGGTGAAATTCGTCGAATGTATACTCTTCAAGGCAGCATCCAGCCAGTGGTTATCAAGAGTCCTGTGGCATGATAAAGTCCATATGGTCTTTGAGCTGACGCCTTACTCATTACCTGTCGAGATTTCGGTATTCCTTCGAGTGTCGGTTATGATGTTGAACGGAACGGCCATATGTTTTCTTTATGGCCCTCACTGAGGTCCAGGAGAGCGCCTTGTCTTCGACATGTTTCAGCAGACAACATTCCCTTTGGTCGCCGCGCTACCGAATGTGGTAACATGTGTTGAAGGGGGCAGTAGTTGCGGCTCTAGGCTGTTTTGTAAGTGGCTCCATATGATTGTCTTAAGATCATGAGAGAAAACATGAGATCTTATGCCTGAGGCAACATGGAAACCAGGCGCTTTCCGCAGAGCCTCGAATTGAGAAAGAGCCTCATAACGTATAAAATGAGAGTTGGGTCATTATCAACGGTGAACTTTGGGACAGCAGAATCTCGGCTACTAGAAAGGAACTAAGGTCATAATGAAAAGAAATACAGTCACCCACCGCCATACATCTAATAGAGTAAGGGGTGACGGTGACGGTATTTTCCCACTCTTACTGTACCTTCCAAGGTAAGTTGTTCACCTTGCCATTGAGAACCATCTGCTAAGAAGACTTAGTAGCCACATTCAGGGCTCAAACAGGGTCATCTTGCCGAAAAACGAAAAGTCAGAAGGAAACAGCTTACCTGAAGCCAGTCCGAGCTGGTATTGCTTGCGTCCCGTTGATTATACCGTAATCTTACTTCAGGCCTGAATGTCCGGTCGAACTGTTCGTCAAGACAACAAGTAAGTTGGTTCATGAAGCGGTTTACTATGACACGGAATTATGCCTGCGCTGAATTTCCGTCTCAAGTCGTGGCTAAGGGATTCTTTAGGATGCAAGTATGAAACTCAACTACTTGTCGTCTCTTCCTCATTTCCTTCCACAACTGCTCTCTCATCGGGGTAGCTTCTTGCCCTCAACCAGAGTCTGTCATTGAAACCACTCATCATCTGTGGTCACAACCCGAAGCAGCGAGTATGGACCAACCGAAAAGGTAAACGAAACCATTTATCTGTTGTGGTCAGTTTCTCCTTTATTTGTCGCATAAAACTCACGATTTGTTTGCCTTGTTCTCTTCGCAGACTATTTTCTCATCAAGTGTCCTTCCGCTTATAAGCATAGAAAGAATGAGACATGTGGTGAAGTCCAACACCAAACGAATAGGCACCATCGACATGCGCTCAATCACCGCGGCCTGACCTGTTCAATCGGGCGAAGTGTCGGGGCCGACGTCCGTTATGGTCACTTGATCTTTTCTTGTCGCAATTCGAGTCCGACCATGACACAAGAGGTATCCGATTTGAGGGCAAGGCCCTAGCCGGCATATGCCTTATCCACAATGTTCGTCGAGAATGTCACAGACGACAGTTCTTCCATGGTAGTGCGAGGGCATGTATGCCTCTTTTACTCAAATGGTGGGCAGCCCGCATGGCTCCCATGAGGCAGTTGAAAGTCATCCGAAGACATGGGGTGTCATTTGTCGGTGCTACAGTAGCCAGTCTTTAATCCCGGTATGTTCTTTACGGTCGATTGATCCTCCAATAACTGAATCTCTGTCGCTACGGAGCCGCAGAGTCACAGAGGCACCCGCGGAGCCGCAACTTGTACCTCTGCTCGCTCACTATTGAGTCGGCGTGATGCAGCGCTGGTTGAAGGGTGAGGGGCGGGAGAGGGAGAAGTAACGTTCAAGTAAGGCAGAAGTGTGCGGTTGTGGCTGGTATCATGATTAGCAGGAAGGAGTCTGGTTGCGGCTGGAGCCGGGCTCACTGTCTGGGCAGGTAGCAGGTCCGGTCAGCACTGCCTTCTGGTTACATGCGCGGGTTGGGTATTGCAGGCGGTCATCTGCCGACGACGGAAAAGCGAAACGAGCAATTCGCGAAATTGAGCACGGCAGGGTTATGATGAAATCGAGAGATTTGGTCGGTGAGCATGGACGACTCGGACGTAGAGAAGGATGGCGGGCGATGGGAAGCTCCAGGTCGTGGCAGTGTTGAAGAGTCTTGGAGGAAAATGCAGATTCTGCACTCACTTAGGCAGAAAGGGCGAACGAGATGTTATGGCACCGCCAGGGCCTTTGCGCCCTTGACTGGATGACGGAAGGCCGCACGAAACTTTTGACACAGCTGAGCCAAGGTATGTAACGTCCCGCATTGTATTCAGTCTGTTTCTGAAATAGAGGTATTATTCACATGTATGCAAGGTCTAGACCTAAGCTGAATGCAGTAAAAGAAGTACGCTGCAACTTGGTATGTACCTACACATGCAGTACGAGTGTACTTTCCCACGTGTCGGTATGCAGAGCCGCATGCCGTCGCTCACGGTCACGGGGGTGGGGGTAGAGGTCTGCATCTCCGAGGTTTCCCTTACCCAGACAAGAAAAAGTTAATTAACGTCCTTGACTGAATAAAACCAGGTTTTATTTCTTTTGTTTCGACTACAAAGCCAAGAGCTCCATCACATCACTTCCGCCGACGTCAATCCGACCCCACGCCGGCAACACCGACAAGTGAGCCGGCAGGAATATCGAGAACAAAAGGGTGTCTACCTACTCTTCAGTGAACCTAAATCCGGGCGTGAAGGGATTTCCGCTCGAGACCGGCAGTCTGGACCCTGGAAGGTACCAATATACCTTACTTTTTGGGGCAAGTCGGCTCGGCATCTCTTACCTTACCACCGGGATTTGTTACAGTTGCTCGTTGTGTACGGGTTCTACGCCGGCACACAATCGTCCCTACTTTGCTTTCCTTTGCTTCGCCTGGGATTTCAGTACACTGACCGAGAACTGTTCCATGCAAGCCTAACGACGGCTCAACGATCACCAATGGTTGTCCAATCTGGTGGATTCGAACAAACTGTTTTCCATGGAATGACGGATAGGCCGCTCGTTAGTATGAGTCCTTGCCTTGAGCAAGTGGCAGAGCCCAGGAGTGGAGACACTTCACCGGGACTACACTGCCAACGACCGTCGGTGTCGTCTTTGTACCACTGAGAGCACTATGCTCCCAGATCCGATCCTCAAACACCCAATCGTCCTGTGGGTATGGCCGTCATGGAAATTCCACAGCGCAAGGCGTACCAGTGTCACTTGTTGACTGGTCCTGAAGCCTCTGAGGTTGAATGGATTCCATGGCTTAGGTTAGAATAAGGCATTTGGGATTTAGACCTGAGTGTTTGTGCCTGTCCATTTACGACTCTTGTGGGCAATGCATGAATATAATATACATTATGGCTTCCCTTTATCGAGTCACCATTCCCATATAGCTTTCATCATCATCATCCTCACCCTTCGATGTTCTCTCTGTGAATTCTCAAGACATTCTAGGAACATCTTCTACCAAGTTCAAAGCCAGTCCACGCTGTGGTCTTCCCAAAATTCTGATCCTCTCACCTCCACTCCCTTCAAGACACTGGCTTCCCCCCTTCACATTCACTCAACAATCACACGTCGACAAGATGGGCAGACACTCGACTTCTTCTTCCAGCAAGACCTTCAGCTCCTCTCAAGGCAAGCACAGCAATGCTGGAGGATCTGGCTCAAAGACCAAAACCGTCTGGTATTGTGTAAGTGGTGGTCCCTGGTACGTCCGTCTGTGAAGCGCCGGCTTTTAACAGCTTGTTCATATAGAGCTACTGTCGCTTTGGGCCCCTTAACATTCAAATCGATGAATATTGCCCCGACTGCCAACATAAACGGTGCTCATCTTGCACGGTCACTACCATCGAATATAACCCCGGCAGATGAGGATCTGATGCTCAAGAGCGCATGACTGTGGCATGTACAACGAGTCACAGGTCATATGAAGGGATTACATGACGATACGGGCTTCTGTTGCAACACTCTTTTACACCACCTGCTAGAATATGGGTTTTGTTCTTCTATTTTGTTTTTTCTCTTACACGGCTCAGAGCGAGACTCTGAGGGCGATTTTCAGGAAGTTCAATGGTCCGGATCACAGTACCAATGCTGGAAAAGGATGGATAAACGGTGGCTCAGGCCCACGAAAAAGCGAGTTCAGAGCGAGGAGTTGGAACTGCCTATTCTGCCTTTTGGTTATCTACAATCGTTTCACTCAGTCTGTCATACAAATGTAAATACAGCGTCGCTGATGGTTGAAGTTACTATACATGCATTGTGATCTACACCCCACATTAAAAGCTTCCTGAAACCCAGTGATTTCTTATAGGTTAAACTGAACTTGGAGCCCTAGTATTGCATTCTCCCTGGTTAGTAGTCCCTACAATCATCAGAGTCCCAGAGATCTAGGTCAATTAGATTTCCCCGGCCTGTGGAGCTTCCCCCCTCCCCCTTCCTCTGCCCCTTTAAAAATCAAAACAAATAAAAGTAAACAGGCATCAACGCTAGTTTCCTCTCAAGTTGTTTACCGAGTTTAGATAGATAGTTCGAAACTTTGCTACATCCCAGCATCCAAGTGTAAGCCCCCCTATAGAACCACATTGCTACGGGATCTCCATCCTGCAAAGCGACTGAAACAACCCTTTTACATGACATGCATACTTTGCTGTTGTGCATCGCGGCTCACCCAGAATGACACATTAGGTAGGGACTGCTGCACAAATGTGTCACAGTGTCGCTGCAACCCACCACCACGAGCATCACCAACACTCATGCCGTGTGTGTGAACTACACATGAAGCACCTACCTTTGCAACCTTCGTCTGTCTACTGGCTAGCGCGCCAATCCACACTATAGTTAGAAGTGTTACAAGCACATCATCGCTGCCATGTTGCTTGGGGTATCACACCTGCATGCAGGACATTGCATTTTGGCTGCAGATTACTACTGGTCGTTATGTCGGTCATCCTGGACCCTTAGAGGTACGCAACACCTTATCCGAAAGACATCCTTCATGGACTGAAACTGCGAATAGGCATACCTGAAGAGAGAGAGAGAGAGAGGGAGTCGGCCCTATGTTATTCGTTCCCTTGGATAAGTGGTGACGTGCCTAATTCACTTTAACAACCCACCGTTACATGGAATAGCGGCGCAGCACACCACCCTCTCTCTCTCCCCGCGCTTGTTTCCTGAGCGCATGAGACACATTTTTCACCTTCCCCAACGGCCCCACCTAGAGGTACCGTACCGTCAATTTTTTTGCTGTTGTCGTTATTGTTGTTGTTGTGTCTGAAAGGGGTGACTTCCCTACTATCCAAAGACGTAGGTAGGTACGCACTTTGATGATTTACTCTCTCTGGCCTTTTCTTCTTGTGTTGATCTTGATTTGCTGGACCGCTGCTGCCACCGATGCAAATCACACATATTGATCCAATTCCAGCTCAACATGGATTGGATTGGGTTGGGTTGAGCATGTTGCCAAGACTGGCAATGTCAAAAATGTGCTTTTGGTTCCTACTCCATGACAGCCGCTTTTGGATTAATACTAGGCGCGTTGCCGCGTTCCGCGCGTGCGACGCCGCCAGCCTCACGGCACTTGTTGAGGTGCGGTATGATGAGGCTATTCCTACGCTGCAGCACCTCACACTCCCTCTTTCCAGCCTGCCTCGCATCCACCCTCTCGGTTTCCGAGTTTCGTTAAAAGTCCATGGTGGGGTATGGGAGTGGACAAGATAAACCATGATGCCTTATTGCCTAGTGCAACTTGCTGCTCTTGGGCAACTTTTTGAGGTAGCGCAGCAGTAAGGGAAGGGTCTGTTGATCTCTTGGCACCGGCTTCATGCCGGCGAACCTTGCTGGTGATAGTGACAGGCGCGGCGATGGCTGCTGCGTAGCGGTGACCGACGGACGGGTCGGGTGTTGAACTGTTGACGCCCTTCGACGCCGACGACGACAACGACGAAACCGGCCAGGTGAGATAGAAACTGACTGATTGACCTGCCAGTGCGTGAGGCTGGCCAAATCCAGTGACATATAGTAGGGTAGTCGATCGTCTACCCGACACCAAATGAGGTTATCGATACTTCTGTCCCTGTCCCGGAATCACGGTTTTCGGCGGCGCCGAGGTATGTCTACCCCTGCTTGGATGACGATGCCTAGCGTAGCGTACTCTGACGCCAAGGAAGATGATGTTCCCCCAGGAACTGCCAAAGCGGAAAGCTGATCCTGTTGCGTTTACATATTTGGAGGTGAGATCCTGATTCTGAGAAGGTGTGGGGGGATTAGGCGCGAGGGTTGGGGTCCCTGGGGAGGTTCTGTGGGATTTGATTAGTAGCCTTGCTCAAGCCTTGTCATGCCTTTCTGCGCGGGGTTGCGAGGGTTTGCGGGGAAGGGAAGGAAGGGAAAGGAAAGGGAGGGAGGATGAGCTGAAGGTGGTGGTTGATACGTAATAGGATCGGGAGTGTCCAATCACATTCCGGCCCGTTGGCTGAGCGGAGAGATACCGCGCAAGCTCATGGAAAAGAAATCGATTCAGCACAGGTTGTCAAGCTGAGGCTGGTAGCTACCTTGATAGGACCAACGTGCCAACGTGCCTGATGAATTCGGCCATGTCCGGACATGTGATGTTATTGGCCGCAACATTGCCAAAGTGCCATGATGCAGGAGACGACGTTGCAAAGGTTAAAACTGAACCTTGCCATCCGTCTCTACGATGGCAGACGCGGGATGACAAGATGGGAAAGCGGGCACACGTGTACAGCGGAGTCAATGTGGTCCTTTCCATCATTCTTGTGGAGACGTACCCGTCCCGTCTTGACCGTGACGGGATCAGGACCTGATGAGGAGCAGAGTGGACACTGGGTGGATCCGGCCTATTCCCACTTTGCTGTCATCAGTCCCATTGTTCCCGACACTATTGGTTGCTTGAATCAGGTGGGGTTGCGGGCAGAAGCGAGAGCCCCACTCCAGCGTCGGTGAGGTTCCGAATTTCCACTTCCACAGAAGAATCGAAAAAAAGGAGAAGGCGTGGAAAATTTACGCTGCCGTCTTAGTGGCCATCGGGCCCTGACAATCCACACTCACCGAAGCCCGGTATTTTTGTGTAATGATTACCTAGTGTAGCGCAAACCGCAGCCAGTAGCGCTGTGGGATCTGTTGAGGTTCTATACAGCAAAATTGTGATTCGAAATTTCCATGACTGAAAAGAATAGGCTTTGAAAGCAGACGATATCAAGCTACCAAAAATTCCCACTTCTTCCCGGCCGATTACCATGATCTTTGATGGAAAAGGTAAATTCTCACGATCTGCATGTTGAATACTGATACCGAACTTTGCAACATACATCCTTTGGCAGTCTCCCCTAAACCGCCCGTTGACCTTGCGAGGTACGCAAGGCTTGCGGGCTGAGTGGTGTTTTGTACCATTGACTACGTTAGACTTCCCGAGTACGTTACGGGAACACTATACTATTTGATGTATAGGGAGGTCGCAGTACTGAACTGCGCCTAAGGAGGCCGCGGAGTTGAATATTGAGAGGTGCGGGAGATCGACGTCATGGCATACCCTCTGAACAGCAGAAGTGTAAGTACAACATGATCATCATTTCCGAAGAAAGGAAGAAAGGCGGAACGTCCTTGGCATCAAGAAAACCCGCTGTTGATTTCTGCCTGAGTTGGTTCCTCATGCTAGGTTGTTGTAAGAATTCTCGAACCAATGATGAGCCCGCTTCTTCCTTCCCAGTCAGCGTGAATTCCAGCTCATTGTATTTCCAGATGCAAATCAACACCTCCTAGCCTGAATGAGGGAGCTAGAAACTACATGCAACCAAGTGACGCCGGGAGGAGAAGGGGAAAAAAAAGATGAACGAATCATGTAAAAGCCAAACGCCCGTTTTATGACTACAAGGACCAAAAGACACCACACGTCCATAAGATACCACAAAAAGGACATCAGAGCCAAGTAACCAAGCCAAACTCACAACTCCTGTATCTTTAGCCACACTCCCCAAAGCCTGAAATGTCTCTGAATCTTACACGCCGTCCTCCAATGACATCGAGTGCCCGTTACAACACATCCCGATCAAAGAACAGTGTACGAACTGCCCAGCCTAGTTCCCTTTACTCGACCAATTCCGGAGCGGCATTTTCATCCTGGCCATCAGCCGCCTTACTAACGAGGCGAATCTTGGTCGCACCCTTAGTGCTGACAGATCCCTTGCCAGACTTTGATGTCGCAGGCTTGGCCACGGACTTGCCCGTCTTCTTAGCAACGGTCAGCTTTGGCATCGCCTTGCCCGGTCTTGTGACCTTCCCCTTCACGCTAGCCTTGCGCGGTTTCACGATCTTGGTGGTGGCTGCCGTAGACTTGGCCGCCGGATCGGCAGTATCCTTGATCTTGACAGGTGATTTCCTGGCTTTTCTGAAGAGGGATGATACGTTTTTTACGCCCGAGTCGCGCACTTTCCAAGAGGGGGCGCGTTTCCTTGCAGAAGAAGATGATGGTACATCAAAAATCGAGCCGTCGTCGCCCCCTGCAATGGTAGGAGTGTTTTGGACAGCGTCCGCCATCTTCTTTGCCCTGGGCGTATTCTTGGGAGTTACCCTGGCTGTCTTGGAAGCTTTGTTTCCTACCTCCTCTTCAGCCCCCGCCGTTCCTGCCGCTGTGATAGAGCCGGCTGCATCAGCTGCGACTATGGTCAAGCTGGAACCCTTTGACGGAGCTTTCAGCGTGATCGTCTTGCTCTTCGCGGCGGCGCCCTTCTTGGAATAGGATTTGACAACTCTCGTCGTCGCAATGCTGACTTTCCGAGTGAACGTCTTGGTGGTCTTCGCCGAAGCAACCTTGGACTTGGCGCTGACGGACACCTTGGAGACCTTTCGCGACACGA